CCCCTTCCCAACTATGCCTAGCTCGAGTATTCTAAGGAAGAGATGTGGAAGTCCATTGGGGGCATGGTCTGAGTGGGGGCCATCACTTCAGCCCACTCTTCTGTTCAGACAACTAGCTGCCATTAGAGAGAACTGTGTCCCTCCAGATTACATGTTGAACTCTGGTAAACAAGGCCCAGTGAGCATAGACAGTTTTTTAGGATGATGGGGGGCCAGTTTAGCAACACTGTTCGGAGTGCACCCAATTTTCTGTTCTAAGTCATATTACACAATCTGCTGGCTTATGCTTGTAGGTCTCCCAGAACAGACCAACAGGGGATTCTTGTGAGCTAGAATAAAGCAGTCTTGTTCCCCCCCCCCCATGTAATAGTGTTTAAAGCTAATTTTCAAAATGAAATAACCTAGTAAAAGCATTTCAAAACATGCTATGCTCAGTAACTCATGAGGCCTCTGAATGCATGAACTTCATTGTCTGGCTTAATTATCTCCAGTGTGAAAATCAGTACCTGTCTCTAAAATTTCTTTCATCTCAGCAATCTGAGTTAAGCTATCAGAAATGCTCCCGGCTTATTGCAGCATATTGATGTCTGTCTCTTTTACACTGATCTACAAATGTCAGTTGCAACACTATTGATCATCTATATTTGTCTTTTTAGGGCAGAATTTGCATTGCCAGTACATTGTTTAATGTTATATAAGTGAAATGTCCAATCCCCTGATGATTTGGGCACATGTGATGCTTTAGCAGTAGCACATGGATCATATTCTTAGGATTTTGCTCTAAATTGTATATCTGTACAATATTTATTTGAAGGTTGAAAGAAGAACAGAGAGATTTATACAGAGCAGTTCCTCAGCATGAATATTATACTGCATACAAACATGGATAAAGATCTTAATGACATTAGCTTTGGACTATCATCTTCAAAGGAAGGACTCTTTTTCTTGGCAGGATCATATGGTGACATGTGGCTAGGAATATCTCTGGCACATTTGAAACATCCTGTGTTGCCAACCAGGGCAGAATGGCTAATGAAGGACTCGTGGCTTTCTAGTACAGTATTGCACTATGTTTTGGCCCAGATGATGCTTTACTAGGAATAAGGCCAAACCTAGAGAGAAAGATTAATTCCTGTTCCGGTCAGGATTTATGCAATAGATAATAAGATTGTTTCAGGTTCCTTGGGTGTATAGAAAGGCTGCACTGTAGCATAACAGCAACAATAATCATAATCATCATCATCATCATCTTAGAACTGTAGAGTTGGAAGGGATCTAGGATAATCAAGTTTGGCCCTTGTCAAGGAGGCACAGTGGGGAATCAAATTCTCAACCTATGGCTCTGCAGCTGGGTATCTGAACCACTGCACTGTCTAGCAGTTCTTAATAATAATAAATAAATATGGACACAACCCTCATACACGGATTGAATGGCAGAGATTGAAGCAAAGTGTTAACTGCCCAGAGTAGTAAGTGGGGCAGTATAAAAGTTAAACAAAACAAACTCACCTGTTATAATTCTGTAATTCTGACTGAATCATGATTTCATTTTTTTCAGCTTTCCCCCCTTACAATTTGGCTTTGTACCTGAAATAACAAAAGCAAAATGCCACATCCAACAAATGGGGCGTTATAACCATGAATCCTTCTTCATCTTTGCAAAAATTATTGTTTCAAAATCTCAGCAAAATGTTGCCAGTTTCTCCATACCTTTGTGTTACACAACATATTAAGCAATGTTCTGTCAAACTGCTTGCATGAGAGGTGTTTTTGCTTTTCTGTGGTTAGCTGCACCCCTGTTCTCTTGCTACCTTGCAAACTCATCTAGGCTGAAACATGGCCTTTCTTATTCACTAATGCAGAGAGAACAGTTGGTTTTTCTGCCCTTTGAGATGACTAATTTAGGAGGTGCGATGGCAAGATAAAAACAAAGATTGTCATTGTTTGTTATTGTTCTTTTTTTCACAGTAACAAATTGAGGAGTAGAAGCAGAACTGAATGTATAAAGATGACTGTATAATTTTATTTGCTAATTCAGTAATGTCTCAGTTTCAAATTGCATGATGTACTCTTCATTTTTGCTGTTATGGATCTAATGAGATATAAAAAGCTAAGTATAATACCAATTATAGAGCAGTGCATCATTATTTTTAGTTACTGCAGCAGGTGTGTTTATTGCCTATTGTTAGCATAGTTTTGGTCTCCCTCTCTCTTCTCCACTCCCCACCATCTTTGCAAGCCATCTGTTTTTACATACAGTATTGGAAATCTTCCCTGTAGCAGAATAACTGTCCTGGACAGGTAGCTTGCCCAGGAATAGGCTATGAGCAATTGTGCATTCATATGGTGCTGTCTCTAAACAGTTTTTCCTGATTTTTTTGTTCTTAAAAGAAGAATCTGCAGTGAATTTGAAGTGAATCTCAGATGCCTCCACAGATTTTATAAAGCAGCAGTTTCTAAATATTACAAGTCTTCAGCAACATAGGTGAGGATGTTGAAGGAAATATTTCATACCAAAGCTTCAGATCTCTGCATTTGTGTCCCCTCACATATACACATGCATATACACATTACATATCTCTGAAAGCAGAGATGGCGGAAGCATAGTGGATATTAATTTACAGATACCAAAGATATAGATATCGCAAAGCATTTATTTCCCAGACATGATAAATACAAGATTCATTCCCATACAATTGCAAATGTGGCATTAATCTTGATAATTGAATTCCCCTAATTGGGAGGGGGGGAAATCCATGATGCAGTAGTCGTAAAAGGTCTTCAGTCAACTACTAGTGCTCAGTCCTTCTGTCCATCTATGTGCCTTTGCACCTGTCCATCTGTCTATCTGTTTGCGAACTGTCTCAGAAGTCTGCGAAAATATGTGGAAAGTGTGCTTGTTGCAGGGACAAGGATGTTTTCAGCATCACTAGCAGTTGCTACAGGTGTTCTACTCTTGCCAGTGCAGAACACAGTCAGGCACCAGGAAATAAGCCAACAAGCGACAACTGCTAAACTTCTGAGAAAAAGACCAAGTGACCTTTAGTGAAATCATGCCCTTCAATGAATGTGTGTGCACGGTAGAGTTTGCACAACAGCCACAAGACTTCATGTTCTCTCATGCCAAGGCCAGCTTTGCATTGACTCTACAAGTGTACACATCTGCTTGTTAAAGGGGAAATCATTCATAATTGTGTGGTCTTTCCCAATTTTGAGTAATTCTCCTCACTGATCAATTCCACATGCCCCCACACAAATTTTGCAATGGGGTTCTGTCCCACTGCAAAAGATTTTAAGGGGTTTGGGAAGCTATGGAGGAGAAAGGATGTAGGAGATGTTCCTTCCATGACTCTCCATAAGCCAGCCTTTTTAAATAATCCGAGCCATTATACCTTCCTCTTTGTTATACATATGATCACTTTTGCCCTCTCTGAAAATTAAAGCTTCAGCATCCCATGGGTCATTAATTGCATGAGAATTATGGATTGGATTGAGTTCTATGTGTGCAAGTTTTTATACCCAGAGCTGTCAATTAGCTATTACAGAGCACCAGATGGGTATATGATCTTTCATACATCATAACAGTTGTGACCTTCTATAACTCTTATGGGATTATTGATTGAAAATAATGTTGTTGGCTTTTTTGTTAATTAATATTCAGGAGACTCCTCAACAGAAAATGTGGTTTTCATGATGTTTTAATTAATCAGTTCATGATTATTCTGGAGGGGGAGATAGAGTAATGAGATAACATATGCCCCTTTCAACAAATACCTTTGATTTTGTGAGTTTTGTTGAGAAGTATTATGACAGCAATTATTGTTCAGTGTTTGAGCATCAGGTGTGGAGAAGGAGAGATTAGATGTTGCTTGATGAGCACAAAGCATAGATTTTTACTTTTATAAGATCTATTTCTTTTTGAGTATATCTGAATAGACAGGCAGCTGTCTGGCAAACAATGTTAAGTTGCTATATATACACCACTTTCCATAGAATTGTAGCCCCATAGTACTTTGTCTCTGGAACTGGAAGGTTGAATTGGTTTGATTTTGTGGTGGAGAGTGTTTATAAATCTTTCTGGAGTCAAGTAGCTCTCCATCTGCACACCACAGCATTAATTGGAAACCTTTGATCTTCACAAGCCATTAAATAATGTAGCTGATGAGTGAATTGTTATGAGGAAAAATGTCCATCAATTGCCAAGATTCAAGGCTTTTTTTGTCCTTCCAAAAACCTGTGTTCTAGGAATATCTTGATTTTACTCAAACTATACATGTTAATTTTTGTAATGGAAAAGAGTTTTTTTGTCGGAGGGGGGTGGGGGGAAGCATCACTTGAGAAATGTCAGAAAATGAAAGCTGCCTTAATAAAGAGGTCCCAAAACAGGAGTTAATACAAGGAAAAGCTTCCTTAAATATTATGAATCAAGACTTCGGTCTTTGGTCTTTCTGTCACACATAAAGGAAATAGCTGTCAAGCTTATTGTGCTGTTACGTAGGTCAAGTCTGAGTCATATTGCTGCCTGACTCAAAAGACACTGCTGGCCTGTGGCCCTTTTGGCAGAGGAGGGATGGCAAACAGAAAAAAAAAGCAGGAATCTGAATCAAAGTGTGTGTGTGTGTATTCTTTTCTTACCAGTAGCAGCTGTTAGGACATAGCATGTGACTGCACTTGCACTTTGGTCTCCTGTAACCAACGCAAAATGATGTCATCATTTCGTACTTGTGTTGGTTGCCACCTTCTCAGTTTCCTGTCATTGGAGGACTCCAAAAAGGCTTACATAACACTAATGCAGAGGAGGAGAGTTGAATTGAAACAATGTGCTTGCACAGTGTCGCCTTGCCTGAACTACCCTATTCTAACTCCTCCTAGGATGATCCAGACTGAAGCCCTGAAGCAATGCCTTCACTTTTCCTCAGAGTCTGGCCACATATCTCATCAAATGCTATGTACCTTCTCACTGAAATACACCATTAGCAATATAATACATAATACTTGACTCTCAGGCCATTTTTTTACTCCCAGCACCAACATTCAGACTAGAGAATATGTGTAGCATATATTTAGAAGAGGTGCTCCCTCAAGCTGTAAAAAGCCATTTGTTCATCACAGCACAATTTTCCCCCCAACATATCTTGCAGTAAGTACATTTTGTTTCATGACTGGAAGGAAAACTCTGTCTTAATGTGTAAGTCTGAACACTGAGTCATGTACATCTGAGAAAAACCCATTATCAGAAGGAAAATGAATTAATGAGATGCTGCATCTTTTTTAATGTCTAGTTTGAACATGAATTTAGTATCAGGAAGAGCAGCTGTACGGAATTATGTTCTGAAATACATTTTCTTCTTTGATTCCAAAGACTTCTTTCCGTGTATCTTGGTTGGCTGGTTGGTTAGTTGGCGGAATTCAATTCACATATAATCTTTCTGCATATAGCATCCAAGGCAACTAAACAGCAATGGCAACAATAAAAATTAAAACCATTTGTTAAGACTTAAAAACATTTTAATTAAGTTCATGTAAAAAAGCAGTCAGAGACCATGTGATTGTTTACTTTTGAGTAAACATACTCAAGTCATTTTTGAGTAAACATACTCAAAAGAGATCTGCAGGTCAAAATCCCATCTGAATAAAAATATATTTACCTGTGAGCAGACTGACATCAGCAAAGAGGTTATGCAAGCAACTCTTGTTAGTATATTTGTAATATTAGCTTTTGCAAACACACACAGTTTAAACTGATTAATTTGGCACTTTTCTCCATTTGATTACTTTATCATCCTTATTAATGTGGTGTTTACTCCATTTGATTTAGAACAATGCACATTGGTTTCGATACAGGACATTTCAGGACATTGCACTCTGTTGTGAAAATTGATTAGTGTTATCTCTCGCTCTTTATTTTTTTTAACAAATTGTTGATCTATAAAAGGATCTCTCTTCTTATTTTGACTGCTAAGGTTACTCGGGAGTCTTTTGTGAGGGGCTTGCATGGAACATTTTGGAAAATTTGACTGTATAATGGCTGAAATCCTGTTGCTTAGCATAGTACTATTGTAACTACAGTAGGCCCACTAAGTCAGTGGCAACTTGGTAAGTCAACTAAATACCCTTAATTCAAAACGGCCTACTCTAGTCATGTCTTACTATGCTAAACAATGGGATTTTGGTCAGTGTCTCCTGGGCTGTTCTTTTTCTACATGCTTTTTGAAATTATTAGAAGGATTTTAGAAAATGAATTCAGATTGTTTAAAATTGCTGTGAATGCTCATGGAAGATTTTTATAAAATACTTTTTTCTCCACGGGGTAATAATGTATTTCCTTGGGAAGCTATTAAGAGGAGCACTTGGAGTACTTCCAGAGGTTAAAAGCAATCAGTGCAAAGCTCAAAACAAACCTCGCATTACTGACATTCACACAAAAAGACTTGACCTTTTTCTAAATTCTCCCCCCCCAAAATCCCCAGAGCTTGCATGTGCTAGAACAAACCTGGGCAAAGTGCGGCCCGCAGGCCACATATGGCCCGTGAGCCGCTCCTGTCTGGCCCGCCGGTCGCGGCTCCTCTCCGGCTTGCCAGTCACTGCTCCTGTCCGGCCCGCCTGTCGCTGCTGAGTGAGCTGGCGCTCCAGCTCTGGTCACCCAGCATGGCAATAAGCAAAACTCGCGAGATCCCAGCATTGGATCTCACGAGTTTTCACTGTTACTCTTGAACCATAGGCTGTGGAGTCTGTGGCTCAAGAGGCTCGATCCTTGCGCAGATGACGTGATGACACATCACATCACCTGCGCGAGATAGAAGACAGTCGGAGAGGAAGGCCGTGGAGGAACGGAGGACAGGAAACTTAGCTCAGTGTCGGGGTTTTTTTCTCCTCCCCCCCCACGGTGAAAGAATTACAACGCTCAGATAGTTAACTCCCTAAAAAATGTAGGGAGTTAACTATGTCAGCCTTGTAGTTGGTTTTTTCTCCCCCCCAGTGAACGAATTACAACGGTCAGATAGTTAACTCTCTAAAAAATTTAGGGAGTTAACTATGTCAGCCTTGTAGTTCGTTCACCGCAGGGCCTCACCCAATGGGGCCTATTACTACCCACAAATTGGGGGCCTATTACTACCCACCTAATGGGGGCCTATTTTTAAGTAAAGTTGGTTCGGCCCCCGAACACAGTTCAGATTTTTCATGTGGCCCCCTACAAAAATTAATTGCCCACCCCTATGCTAGAACTATGACATCTCAGTGAAGCTTTAAAACAACAGGGGATTGGACTTGATGGCCTTATTTGCCCCTTCCAACTATATGATTCTACGAAGTAGCCATAAAACATTTATTTATAGAAACTGGGGAACCTGTGGTCTTCCACATGTCTTTGGACTCTAATGCTCCTCCCACCACTGACTTCACCGAAGTTCTGCAGGGCAACAGGTTCCCCAGCCTTATTTATAGAACAGACCCATCATTTCAAATATCTCTCACCAGAATCCTTTCCACAGCTTCTCTACCAAGAAGACACGGAAGTGTTTATTCCTTTAAATCATGTGTTTTCTGCTCCTATAGTATTCAAGGCAGCGAACAAATTAAAAAACAAACCAGATCTTATAAATAATGAGGCAGAGTCTAACAACCATCCAAAGAGAATCTGAAGAAACTTCAAAGTAGAAAAAGGTAATCTTGAAACACCAACATCTTCATTCGTGGAAAGTTCCTTGAAATAAAGTGGACTTGGTAGAGGAACCTTCCTTGCTGTTGGAGATAAGTGTAGAAAAGTTCAGTGTAGAAAAGATCTTGAGCAGATTCACATGATGCTTTTAACGCACCATCATCTTGCCTCATTCCATCAGATTTTATGGGGCTTCACATGTCAGTGTTCTCTACTTGTAGCCTGTTCTTATTTTTCCACTGCTTCTTCCATAATTTTTCTTCCTGTGGGAGAATATTAAGGAGAAATAAAACACAATGTACAATACCTAATGTGAGATGCCCTGCATCTGGAAACGCCACTGTCTTTTGCTGCCATCTACAGAAGGTCAGCTGAAACAATGTCTCTGTCTTTTCCTGACTAGTATATTGTATAGGCAGGTTGTTGTTGAATAAGATGTTGTTATAGACATCCTTGTCAAAACCACTAGTGCTTTATAGATTAACTCCAGCCTCCTGAATTCTAGCTAGAATAATTCTGGAAGCCAGTGCAGCTCTTTTCAGAACGCTGAGAGAGTTTTCAAAGAGGCTGGTATCAATAAAAAGTCTGGCTGCTATATTCCGGAAGTGTGTGGTTTCTGAGCAGCTGACCAAAGTTGACACCATCCCTCCGAACTTATTATAATAACCTTCCCCCATCCCAAGTTTTAAATAAAAAATATATATTTTGGGGCTGCAACTTCAGGTGTTTGTGTGGTGACTGGCATACATGCAGAGGAAAGAAGCCTTATTTCTTTAAGGAGTAAAACCTACTGAGATATGATTTGGAGAAGAATAAACACTGGGGTGGAGAGGAAATGATTAAGCATCTCTCTCCTTCCACTAGTTCTCCATCCAATTCTCTTTTTGTTTTAATATTCCAAGGGAAAAAGAAACACACGACCAATAGAAATAGACAACCATAGTCCCAGAATCCAGTCCTTCTTCTGAATTTTCATTGGTTTCTGGTTGTACCACCATAATGCAAAACCCACATGGATCACCTTTCTTTCTGTATAAGATAGATATGTTAAGAGGAGTGCAGACTGCTGCCCATTCCTGGTCATAAATCTTTCTTACACAATCCATGTCAGCTTTCCAGTCTAATACAGCAGATCCACACACCTCAGCCCACATGAGAGGATCCCTCCATGAAACCAAAGCGCAGAGCCTCGTTCTCTTTCTGTGCTTCATAAAGCTAAGAGGGAAGCTGTCAACTCAACTCTTTTGAAGAGTCTGTTTCTTCACCAGGGGCATTTTATTTTGATTCAGCAGCTGTGCCCCTAAATTTGCCATCAAAAGGAGTATTACCTCTGTCTGCATGCACTGACACAGCAGCCTGCATTATGGTCTTTGGGAGACAACGGCTGCAGTCATCCTTCCAGGGCACCAGTCCGTCTTGATGCACTAACCAGCTAAAAAGAGAAAGGCAGAGAAAATGCCTACCTCTAACATTTGAAAAACAAAAACATGGCTATGGCTATATCTGAGCATTGGATTCCCAGTGTCGTGTAGTGGATAGAGTGACGGGCGAGGGCTCTGGAAAACAGAGTTCAAATCCTCACTTGGTCATGGAAACACACTAGGATGGGGTTATAACTGGTAAAAGCACTCCTTAAATATCTCACTTATCTTGATACCTCTATTAGGGTCGCTATAAATCAGTTCCGACTTGACAGCACAGAACTCACATATCTGGGCAACAGTCTGTTTAATCCAGCAGTGTCGCCACCAACTAACCAAATGCCACCGTGGACGTGCAAACAAGAGAAGCAGACATAAAGCATCTCCTGTTGCTCATCCACCTCATCTAGCAATCTGAGCTTACTGCCTTAGTACACAGAGGTTCCACCTTTAGCTGTTGTGGCTAATGACGACTCATAGATATCTCTTCTGCCATCAGCGACTCTATCTGCTTTAGATTATAGTTCTGTCTTTAACTTTGAAGCCACCTTCAGATTGATTCTGCTACACTTGATTACTGTACTGTTGCTGAACTGGAGGCTTCAGCATTCTCCCCCCCCCCCC